AGGTTATACTTACATCTTCATACCTGATTATAAACTTCTTGGAGAAGCAGCATTTTATTCATACTTTTATCACTAGCAACAATGATGGTTCTTAACTATAAGATAAGGTTTGTAATCATATTTTTAGTAATTAATATATTATTACAGTGACAGGATATTCCTGCTGGGTTTTTTTTCCCTCCACTATATGGAGTACAGAAAAGCAGCACCTTATTTAACACATAAGACATTCACACTTGCAGAAGAGTGAACTTTGAGATTCATATTTCATGACTCAGGGCTGGTGGCTTGAGTTGAGATCAATGTGCCATTACAGGAGTTGGTGTCATTTGAGGATGTGACTGTGGACTTCACCTGGGAGGAGTGGCAGGAATTGAATGATGCTCAGAGGACTTTGTACAGGGATGTGATGCTGGAGACCTACAGCAGCCTGGTGTCTTTGGGTGAGTGAAACGCTACAGTAACTTTCAGGAGAAACATTTTGTTATTTTTTTTTATAAAAATAGGAATGGTTTATAGGGTTTTTTGCTATTTGGTAAGATTACATTTCATGAAAAACATGTCATCCCTATCTAACAAAAGTTCCAAATTGGCCTATTTATTGTATAATTTCTGGAGCTGAGCTCTTGTCATTCTTCCAAGGATCTGGCTTTGCAGTTTTATAATGTCATATGTTACTTCTCATTAACAGGGCACTGCATTAGTAAACCTGAGGTGATCCTCAAGTTGGAGAAAGGAGCAGAGCCATGGATGATAGAAGAAAACCCAAAACAGAGCCTCCCAGGTTAGTAAACACATCCTGGGCAAAAACGAGAATGAGTAAAAGCCAGCAGACCTTGGCTGTGTTCAGCTGGTTTGGGCAATTCTTCCACAGGTGCGTGAGCCAAGGCTGGTTCATCTTCTCACATCCAACACATGTATTATATTGTTTCTTAGATAGACTCACACATATATATTTCCATATTTTATTTTGCTGTTTTTAAAAAACTCCAGTGCATAATACTACAGCTTTTGTGAGCAATGAATGATCAAGTGAGAGTGTGTGTTCCAGAGTTTGGGGAGGAAATACAGGTTGATTTTAGAAGGTGTCAAAAACAACTTCTTCAAAGATGATGGGCACAGCCTTGGTTGCAGAACCAAATATTTTAGACCAGGAGGAAAGGGGCGTCTGGAGGGGTGGACTGAAGTATTCTGTATAGTAATGGTTTTGAGAAGCACAGGAATTTAGGTTAAATGAGTGGTTTGTGGGAGGCTCTGTTTAGGGTGGAAAAAAGGAGATTTTATTATTTGAAAAACTTCCACATGCCTATAGCCATTTCTTAGAGAAGAGTAAAAAGTATAGGGACATACATGCAAAAATCTTAATCTAAGTCCTTTTACTCCATATGTGATGAAAAATTGGACATTCTGCACCTGAAAGTAGCCAATGAAGGAAAACGTAGCCATATTCAAAGCAGAAGAATGAGAAAAAGAGCTGCAGGAGATAACCACTACTATAAAAATAAAATGGAGTAAAAACTGTAAACAAATGGAAGGTGATAAGTAATTTTTTGAAATCTACAGTCAGGGAGAAGGTAGAAATCAAATATTACATCATGGTTTAAAAAAGAAAAAAGAGAATAAAGAAGCAAAGAACAACAATGTGACATAATGTTAGAAAGTATATTAATAAGGGCCGGCCCATGGCTCACTCGGGAGAGTGCGGTGCTGATAATACCAAGGCCATGGGTTCGGATCCCATATAGGGATGGCCGGTTAGCTCACTGGGTGAGCGTGGTGCTGACAACACCACGTCAGGGGTTAAGATCCCCTTACCGGTCATCTTTTAAAGAAAAAAAAAAGAAAAAGAAAGAAAGTATATTAATATAACATAACATTATGTCAGAATGAGGAAAACCCATATACTCCTGAAACCAATATCCATTATTGATTTTTTTTAAATCTTTTATCACTAGGATTGGGAGAAAGTTCTCTACCTTTACATGACCATGCAATAAAATATGCTTATGTGTGGTTCATGGATATGGGTTTGTCTTTTTTTTTTTTTTTTTTTTTTTTTTTTTTTTTTA